ATAAATATCATAGGCCATTCGTATGATTGATTGCATGGAAATAAATAATGCATTGGTTGTAAATCGATTGAGCTTGTTGATAATTACAAATATCTAGGATTAACCATACATACTAAGTTTAGTTGGAATTTCCATATAGAACGAGTATGTAATAAATTAAGATCGTTATTATGTAAGTTTGTACACCTTAAAAGTGTAGTTGATAAAACAACTTTACGCATTCTGTACTATGCTCTCGTGGATTCTGTAATTAATTATGGCCTTTCAGCATATGGAAGTACGTTCCGAACGTACATGGATAGGATACATAAACTTCAACTAAGATTTATTAAACTGTTAGTTAATAAGCAAGTTAAAGAGAAAAGTAAGGGTAACTATAATCTATTGTATAAGAAATGCAATATTCTACCAGTACGTGAAAAAAACAAAGTATTTATTAGCAACTGAAGGATACAAAAGTAAATTTTTAGTTAGGAAATCAATTTATGGTAATTTAAGAAAAAATACTCGTAAACTGTTTGAGGAACCAAGTGCGCAAAACTACTTTGGTGAAAGGACGCGTAGGTATTTAGTGCCAAGAATATTTAATGAAAACGTGCCACAAACACAAGAGGCCTGTCGGACAAAACAATTTTTTAAAAACAAATTGAAATATTGGCTACTGAATGCCATCGACGACCTGTAGTATTAGTAGTAGTAATATTTAGTTTATTATTAATTATTAATCTTAATTATTTTTTATTAATCTTTATTCATTATTAATTTAATTTAAGATATTCGTTTTCTGTCTTTTATAGCTTTGTTATTAATTTAGTGATAAGTGTACTTTACCTACTTAGTCTTTAGTTTTTAATTACTTTATATGTTTACTAATATGTTTTGTTTTAAAATTTATTTTAGAGAAATATTAAAATGCAATTGTAATCCTTAATGAGTGCAGTTTCGCCAATAAACTGTATTCTCAGTTTGGCGAACTTAATGTTTTTTGAACCAATTGTATTTACTATGTTAATAAATAAATAAAAAAAAACATGATCTTTGTTTTGTCCATGTTCGTTTTAAGACCTATTCGTTGGGACATTTATGACTTTACCACCGGCGATTTTTTCGGATCGATACGACCTGGGGCCCTTCAAGAGAAGAGCTTACTCCTTTTTAAAGGGCCGGCAACGCACCTGCAATTCCTCTGGTATTGCGGATGTTCATGGGCGGCGGTAGTCACTTAACATCAGGTGAACCGTATGCTCGTTTGCTCCCTCTTCTATAAAAAAGACACTATTGACGTCATTGAGCATTGTACTTAGGAACTCCAGCGATTCTGCCATAAGGACTATATCGTCGACAAATCGAAAGTGAGTGATGTACTCCCCATTGATGTAAATACTGTATCCTTTCCAGTCCAGTAGCTTGAAAACGTCTTCTAATGCAGCGGTGAAAAGTTTCGGGAATATAACGTCACCCTGTCTTACACCTCTCTGCAGTTGGACAGGTTTCGTACTCTGGTTGATCGAGCAAGTAGATGAGTTTGTATATTTGGGTTGCGTATTTAGTAAGGATGGGAGATATGATAAGGATATAGAACGACGAGTGAACGCAAGAAATAGAGTAAGTGGGGCTGTAATGTGAAGAGTCAAAATGTGTCAAAAAAGGTACGTTTTTTTTTTTTTTTATTTTTTTAGGATAGGGTGCGGATGGGTGGGTTTCATCTATCCTGATTCAAAATGCAGATGCGTTGTGTGAGATAAGATGGAATGGGAATGTTAGGTCCCACCGGTATAGCAGGTTACACGTACTACTTTAACGTATGGTAGTAAAAGTTGGGTGTGGCAGAAGAAGCATGAGAGTAAAATAAACGTTGTAGAAATGCGGTCGTTAAGGAGTGTTTTAGGGCTGAATCTGAATGACCGGGTGAGAAATTGTGTGATAAGAGAAGAGTGTGGTTTGCAAGACGATGTTCTGACCAGGATTGAAAAAGGAATGCTTCGGGGGTTTGGTCATGTGGAAAGAATGAATGAGGAAAGAGTGACAAATAAATTATGTTGCAGAAGTGACTGGCAGAGTCAGAAAGGGACGTCCTAGGCGAAAATTTATCAACCAAATTAACGATTTATTGAAAACGGGCCAAATTAGGAGTACCCTTAACCGATGAACATGTATGCGTAAGTATATGGACGTGAAAGAGGTGAGAGAGGTGTGTCAGGATCATGCCAAATGGAATTTTGTAGATTCTGCCTACACTCTGGGTGACAGGCGTGGGTATTTATATTCTGTACTCGGATAGCTGGATAGAGCCGTGGTAGCTCAGATGGTTAATGGGTAAAAGAGTACGGGGCGGAAATGTAATTTTAAGTGCTGATTTACCACGTTCTCGGCGGTGAAGGAAAACATCGTGAGGAAACCTGCATGTCTGAGGAATAAGAAAAAAAATATTTCGAAGACATGTGAAATTCGCAAACTCGCATTGGGGCAGCGCGGCGGACACTTCCTTGCCCCTAAAACCCTCTCAGAAATGAGGGTAGGCCTGTGCCCAGTAGTGGGACGTATACAGGCTGTAACTTTACTTTACTTTAACTTTACTCGGATAGCCATCGTAGACCTACTATACAAACACTTCAATATACCGACAGTCCACTTGGTACCGTTGAAAGGACTGTAGCACCGCCCAAATTTCTACGGCATCGAAGGCTTTCTCATAGTCCACATACGCCAGTCAAAGTGACAGATTGTACTCTTTGAACTTCTGTATAATTTACCGAAGGGTATGTATGTGGTCTATGGTGCTAAAGCCTTTTCGGAAACTGGCTTGTTCGGGAGGCTGGAAGTCGTCGAGTCTTCGTGCGAGATGATTCGTAATGACTCGAGAACAGCACGTAGACGCGTGTAGTATACGCGTGTGTGTAGTTCTCCAACAGAGCGTTGTCACCTTTCTTGAAGCACAAGACCACCGCATTTCCACTCTAAGCCTCGGGAGTAGTGCCACCATGGAGGACGGAATTAAAGAGCTTCGAAAGACTTCATGTACAGGTTTTCCACCCGCTTTCAGAAGCTCCGCTGTAATTCCATCCTCGCCCGGGAACTTGCCGTTTTTAAGGTGCTGGAGAGCCAATCTATTTTCGCTCAGACTGATGTCCAGGATATCATCGGAATAGTGTCGGATAAGACTTGTTCTTGGATCGATACTGACAATTGCGTGTGGCTCTTACGATGACGTGTACAGCTGCCCATAGAACCTCTCAATCTCACTCAAAATCTCAGGTATCCCGGAAACGATGCTGCCACACATGGCAACAGAGCCCGTATGCTGCCAAATCTGGGGAAGACTGCAGCTTCATTTCCCGTCTAACAGCCTCATGGCAGATCTGATCTGATCTGAATCTGATTAAGAGTGTGATCGGAGAGATTTTGTGTTCTTCTGCGGCGGGTCTTGCAAAACTTAGCTCCGACCGCATGGACAATTTCCACGAGCTTGTCATTCATACCGTCCACTGCATTGCAATCTTCTAGGCACTGAAAACGGTTTTTTATCTCGAGCTGAAAGGTTTCGGGACTTTGGATTAGAGCACGAGGGGATGGAGCGTGGACTTCATTAGACGAGACCTCTCCAACTTTTGGTTTAGTGTGCCTCTAACCACTCGATGATCACTGCCAGTTTTCACCCTCGCGATCTCTGAGACATCACTGAATAGTTGACGTCTGGTCTTCATAATGAAGTTAATATCATTTTTTGTCGAACCGTCGGGGCTCGACCAGGTCCACTTTCTGTGGGGCCGTTTCTGGAAGAAAGAGTTCATCATAAAATGTCCCTCTTTCTCCATGTAGTTGGCCAGCTGCTGGCTCCTTGGGTTCCGTTGCCCTATTTCAAATTTCCCTAACTTCAGCTCACTGTTTTCTCTTGTACCTAGTTTTGCGTTGAAGTCTCCCATCAACACCGTATAGTGGGTTTTGGAGGTATGCATGGCTCTAGCGATATCCTCATACATTTGCTCCACCTCCTTTTCGGGGTGTGCCAAGGTTCATGCGAAAACCTGTATGACCTTCAGTGAATACCGTTTGTTGATTCTGAGTATCAGGTACGTGACCCTCGTCGACCCACTCTCAATCTTTACAACGCTGTTGACGAGAGACTTGTGGACGATAAATCCGACACCTCCTTGGGACAGTAGGTCGCTCTCCCGGTGCTAAAATAAGTTGCCAGATTCGAGGATGACCGTGTCCTGTTCCCCTTTCTCTTTGGACCTCGGATCATATGTCAGCGCAACTTGTCCACCTCTTCTTCCAGCTCCAGTATCTTCTCGTCAGTCCTAAGGGTTTGGATGACGTGGATACACTCCGTGGTTGTGTCATGGAGGCGTTTCAACTCATACGATGACTGCTTGTGTATAGATGGCTGATCCAAAAATACTTTTTTTTACAGAATGATGAAATTTAGAAGATATAAAATTTTATGCCTTTAGTAGTCCTTGATGAGTTTTTACTACTTTTTTTACTATTATGCTGCAGTTCAACATTATAATAACACAAATTCACGTACGTCGTTCCTTGTTTAACTAAATCACAAAATGGTGAATTATATTCGTCAACACATAATATCGGCAACAAGGTCACGCGTCTTTGCGACTTCTATTGTCTTATTATTACGATTTCTGTATTTACGCTATACGAGGTCCCACCACAGAATAAATAATAGTACTACGTACAGAAGTTGCACTCCTTTGATGTCGACTGCTTACCGACGTTTAATAGCCTACATAATTATTATTAATCAGAAAAATCGCAAACGCAAGCTAAATAAAACTTTATCGCTGCGCGCTAGTGTCCATATTACTTTACATCTTTTTTGTCACGGCGGACTTTCCGTGGTTATTAAAGGATGTCAATAGAAAGTAAAAAAAAATACATTGCGTAATGTTAAGTACAACCCTATTTGATAAACTACAAGTAATTAATCTATGCGAACTTAGTCGCGGGCACAACTAGTACAAAAATATATAACAACTCACTCAAGATAATTATACTCCACACAAACATGGACTCCGTGCAGTGCGAAAACATGTATTTTCCGATCAAACTGACGCCGGCAACTGCGGCGGCACGGGCAACCATTACTCCTAGACATGATGCCATACCACTGAAATAAAAAACACAATTTTTTGAGAGTCTAGCCTAGCTCAGGGGCTAAAACACTTTGTTAGACACAGCAAACATGAGTTTTTAAAGAAAAAAGACTAGCGACCCACTCTGGATTCGCCAGAATAGGATCTATTAATGTAGCGTAGATTTAAAATAATCAAAGACCATTTGTTTTTCGATTTTTAGTTTAAAAAAAAATCTTCAAATACTTCGAGCAATTCTAGGAGGGATCTAGGCTATATATCATTCGAAAATTTTGGAGAAATAATTAAAAACTAAAAGTTCATGAAACATCGGCCTTTGATCATCTTAAATATATATAAGTAACGCGTTAATAGACCCTATCCATTTTTTTTCCCGTGGTTTGGGGGGCTGGGGGGGGGTTGCGGGTTTGGGGGGTTGTTTGGGGTGGGGGGGCCCTTTTTTTTTGTTTTTTTTTTTTTTTTTTTTTATAATGAAGCCGGTGCGAGTGATTAGTTTTATAAAAAAAAACTTACCGATAAGAAGTGGGATAAAGATCGACGAAATAAGAAAACACGATTGCGATACCGAGACAATCTAGTATCATCCCGAAGAAGAAAATGATGCTGGCTATCTTGTCAGTTACGTTGACGCTGATGAGGCCGCTCCCGCCGGAGACAATAAAGATTACAATCAGTAACATTCTCTTCCTGTTGGCCACCATAGCCATGATGAGACATGCCGTGGTGAATGATATCCCATGGATCAAGCTTATCCATACGCTTTCAATGTTTATAGATGATAGACAACTCTCCTGAAACAAATTATTAAACTTTTCGGAAGCTACATTATGGTTGTAGCACGAATTAGTCGACTCGACCGGGGAAGGACCACGTTCTCACAGAATATTAGCTTAAAAAAGCAGCTTAATATTGCTGTGTTTCGTATGTTGAGTAGAAATCCGGAGACCCTTTTTTACTGGAAACGAGGTAGTCCATTTTAGTCCTCAGGGGTGGTAACGCATCTGCGTTTTAATTCTTAATCGAGAATAAATGTAGATGTATATGGGCCACAGCAGCCACTTACCATCAGGTGGACTGTGTGCTCGTTTTTCACCCTTATTCTATAGAAAAAATCTATTTTATTAATGATGTTATGTATTAATTAGCTAAGATCCGCGTAATAAAATAATATGATGTTTCTTACCTAGTTTGAAGAGCACCTCCCGCCCTCTCTCAATTGCGTAAACTATCCCTGTCACTCCTAATCCCAGCACCACTACTAGTAGTGTGTAGTATGTAGTTCCACTCGTTAATCTAATTGACGTAAACGTTACTGTAGATCATGAGGTCCCGGGTTCTAATCCCGAATCGGCGCCAAAATAAGTTATTGAGTTTTCTGTCAAAAAATTCACAGTAGCTGCCCAGAGTCGGCGGAGTTTCATCCCCATGGCTCTGAAAACACGTAAAGCTGTTGGTCCTGCTCCTGATCTCTCTCCGGTCGGTGATAGAATAGAGAGTTCACCTGTGCTTGCGTATACACTGGGTCACTATAATCTTGTCCTGCGTAGATGTCTCCGTTGAAGTTGACCGTCGTGACCAAAATTCGGTCTGGACGATATTTAAGATAATAAGTTTTAAGGTACATACCACACCGGCGACCTCTTGAACATTTTGTGACGTCACAATCATGCTGCAAAAATCCTGCGTTTCGTTGTTACTGCTGGACGACCCCCAGTTCGTGGAAAATGATTCGGCCAAGAACGGCAGCCAGCTTATTAAACCATTGCTCCTGGAATTGAGAAAATGTCGTTTAGCCCCATAGGCTATGTTTCTTCTATATTAGCCCGTAATGTCTATTGCAGGATTTGCCTTAATCATCACGCTCGACGGGATGATTGGTGACCACATAACCAGACGTGGTACTGCGGACATTAAGGATGATATCACGCAGCATGGTGCACGAATAGGCCTGTTCGAACTGGGGAAGTGAATTCATGAATTAATGAATCCACGTACCTATTCTCTCTTCACAATAGGTAATCTTAGTGCTAAATATTACACAAGTGTCAGACTGGTACCTAACTTGTGGGAGACTAGTGCCTAATGTAGGTATAAAAACCTGTATTACATGAAGTATCACAGAATACCGGAACAAAGTAGAAGTACGAGTATTCACAACTTTCAATATTTCCAGTTAAGGGTGTTTCTCATTTTTCGTGCACATTACACGTCCAGGAGAAAAGTCTTCATTTTTTTTATTAAATATCTACATTTCTTATAAAGGAAATCAAATGTAAAGTGGTAATGCTTACATGCATGTAATATTTACAGATAAAAATAACGTAATAAATTAATGATAAATAAAAAACTTCAATAATTCTCATTATCTTCGGTGTCCATTTACTACTCTCCTAAAAAAATTGTATTTTTAACCAAAAATATAAATATTGAATATAAAAAATAAACATATTACGAAACTTTATTAAAAAACACAACGTTTATACTCAAAATAAATAACGATAACCCCACAATATAAAGAAATTTTATTTCATAAATGTTTATCAAAAATAATTTTCTGATTACCATCGGTTTTAGTGAAAATCTAAATTATAGTCCGCGTATTGGCGTGAATGTGACTATACCACCATGCCGCGCTCCGCACAAGTCTCAGCCAGCCAACCAACGTCGTAGAAGGTTCACGCCTGTTCTTGGTAAAAAAAATATTTACGTGTAAAGTTTCGCGGGAGGTGATTATTCTGGAATCGTCCTCTTTCCTCTCGTCATATTATTAGTGAGTATTATTAAGTGAGTATTAATGATTTTGTTTAATATGTTAATTATCAATTCTAGTGATTACCGCCGTAATTTAAAGTAAGCACGAGATTCGTAATTTTGATATTTTTTACGAAACAATAAGATAAGAATAAAAACCTCATTGCCTACGTCCTAACTACCTTCGTTTACCGTTGTTTTTTTAGCGATGGTGATGAGGTCAAAACGATGACAATTAGGATCAATTTTACGTCAGTTTATTATTATTTATTACGTCATTATTACATTCTTTCGCGAGTTCTAGTCCAACCCGTAGTTGAGATTTTTTTCCCACAATAATATTACTACGATACAGTTATAATAATAGTTTAATTCATAGTAAAATAAAGAATTAATAGTTTTTACTTTGTTTCTTGATGCAGCTTTAAGTTTGTTTACAAATAGTAAACTCACAAGCTAACCTTGTGAGTGTACTTTTTATTACTTTAGTTATTAAGGATGAGCTTGATATGATAATACGAGCAATATCATATAATGTGTTGTTACAGATTATTAAGAACTAATAATGCCAAAGAAAGCCAGACAAACGTTAGAGCAGAAACGAGAGTGCGATCGATTACAAAAACAAAGAAAGTATGCAGAAATTAAGGAAGATCCTGAAAGTATTCAGATCTGAAGGCAAAAGAAAGAGCAAGATACCTTAAAAGAAAAGAACAGAAAAAATAAGTAGCGCATAAGATATGACACCTAGACAATTGAGAGTTCAGAGGAAGAAGTGAAGAGTTAATTCAAAACGTCATTATGAAAGAAATAAGAAAGAGAAAGCTATTCAACAGTTTTTAATAGATAATTCTCCACCAAATAGTGACAATGAAGTACATCCAGATGAACAAGATCCTCTCACTCAATCAGCTCCAAGCCTCATACCTAATTCATATCTAAATCGCTTGGATTACGGTAATAGTAATTCTTATCAAGGGTGCCTAAAGAAAATACTCTTCAGAGAAAGGTTCGCTACCTGCATAAAAAAGAAATAGGCATTTTGAAACATGAAATAGAAAAAACGAAGAAACAGAAAGATGGCATTAGAAAAATGTTATATAGAATAATGAAAAATAAGAAGAAGAATGAAAATATATCGACTGAAGAAAAAGTAGAACAACTAATAGAAAATGTTAATACACAAAAGCGTGAAGAAATTAAAGAGCGACTAATGTTTGGTGAAATACTTTCAAGAAGTGTTGGAGAAGGGTATAAGTGCTTGAGGAAAAAGGATAAGAAAGTATTCTCTAATGTTGTTATGACGAAAAAGGAAAGTTTAAAAAATATAAACTCTTGACACAAACAAAAATATTTACAGTAAGAGGTAAAAAAGAAAATAAGACAGCTAAAAATGAAAACTTGATAGAGCAACTAATTTTGGAGTTTTAGGATGATGAGGAGATGAATAGAATTGCAGCTGATATAAAAACATATAACTAAAAACCAAATATGGAAGCAGAAAAGATACTTAACGGACACATTGACTAATTTGTACAAAAAAATTACGCATAATTCGAATGTCGAAGTAACGTATCAAAGATTCTGTAAATATCGCCTATTATGGGTTTATTATACTATTATATTATATATTATATTTATTATACCCAAAGGAGTCCAGTAGAAATACGTGTGCTTGCAAAGTTCATATTAATGTCGATTTGTTGATAAAATGTCTTAATACAAATAAAATACTAAAACAATCTAACAGGACGGGTGTTTTAGAAAGCTTAAGTTGCAACGTCTACGATGAAAATCCCTCATCATCCCTATCCTTTAACTTAACTACTCAATATCATTCCCTTCCTTGACGTTCTCATTACGGTTTCATTACGATTTCTGATATGATAGTAATTTTATTGTTATCTATACAAGGAAGGTAGAAACCACAAAAAGTTGAAGGATTTTATGGATATTAAAGATATTGGGTGAAAAAACAAAGTTATTCGATAATAAATTTGACATTTACAAATGTCGTGGAATTTGCACGAAATACGCGAAACACCCTTAACTACTGTTAACCAAGGTTATCCAATAACATTGTAGGAATAAAATTAGGGTGACAAACGAACATACAGTCCACCTGATGGTAAGTGGATGGGTGTGCGAACTTTTCCTCAATTTTCCATAATGCATTTATCCTCAATAAAGATACAAAATTCAGATGCGTTATCACCCCTGGTAACTAAGATGGAATACCTCATTTCCAATAAGATTAGTCCGGTTCTCTGCACTCACTATACGGAACATAGCAGCATGAAGCTGCTATTTTACGCTGGCCTTATCCTGGTCGAGCCGACCCCCTCGCGAAACAACGAGAATATAGCTGTAATGTACCTTCATCCCATATAAACAATACTTAACATAGATAAACAATCATGCCTGTCACCCAGAGTGGTGGGCAGAGACTACAGACTTCCATTTGACACGATCCTGACACACCTCTCTCGCTTCTTCCACATTCATATACCTACTCATACATGCTCGTCGGTTAAGGGTACTCCCAATTTGGCTTATTTTCAATATATCGCCAATTTCGTCGATAAACTTGCCTACGACGTCCCTTTCCGACTCTTCCATTCACTTTTGCGCCATAAATTTGCTTTGTCACGCTTTCCTCGTTCATTCTCTCTACATGACCAAATTACCGAAGCATGTTCTTAATCCTGGTCACAACATGATCTTGCAAACCACACTCTTCTTTTATTTTATTTCTTAAAAAGAATTTTCGGTTCTCTATGCTCACACTCACCATACGAAATACTAGCGTCGAGCTGCTATTTTACTTTTCTTATATTCTTCCGCGACCGAGCCGACCAATTCGTGCTACAACGAAAATATAGCTCTACCACGTGTAACATTACGTAGTAGAATCAAAAAATACAATTAATCGTGAAATATATAGAGTTTGTTATACTTACGGACTGTAGATAACCACAGTTAAATAAAAAAGTTGCAGAGTTCGGTAAAGTATGGGCGGCTTGAATAGCGGTACGGTCTGATCTTTTAAAGACTTCATTAGAGACACGTCCACATTTCTTATTTTCGCACCAGTCTCATTGACTACGATTTTCTTCACCTGAAATATTTACTTTAAATTGAATGCCATCAAAACATACTTGTAAAAAAACCAAGTCTCGAAACTCAGTTCTTCTATCGTAAAAAGTTGTGAGATGCATGTGTATTACATGTCGGTTAATTTATTTAGTCCCTACTTAAGGGTCCTTCTGTTTTAAGTAATTACCTAATTAGCTAACCTAACAAAATTTTATAGTGACCATATCAATGTTAAAAATCTTTTATGTTTAAATATATAAATTGACTTGGCAATCGCACTAAGCAATACGTATTACTTGTGAGATACATTGTATTTTCATGCGATGGCCAAGTCAATCTATATAATTAAACATAAAAGGTTCTTAACATTGATATGGTCACTATAAAATGTTGTTAGGTTAGATAATTAGGTAATAACTTAAAACAGAAGGACACTTAAGTAGGGACTGAATAAATTAACCGACTTGGTATTACATGCAACTCACAACTTTTTACGGTGGTTTTTTTACAAGTTGTGTTTTGATAGCATCTCATTTCTTTTCGTAGATAAGATAGTCCTATTTTATTACCTTTCCAGTATCTTCTACTTCTTGAATACCAACATCGTACCTATCCACACCTAACACATATACAAGTACACTGATTCATTCACTGCAAATGTAACTTTGTAATTCTATATATGTATATGGGATTACAAAGTTATTCATGCAGTTGGTGTATCTAGAAAACTGGACCGAAATTAAAAAATATTTTAGTTTTCCCTTGATTTTTACACTAAACACTAATTGTATTGAAAATTTTAAGCTTCTATGTCTGCTAGAAGTGCCTTAGAGTTTTGATGATCGGTCAGTCAGTGAGTGACAAAATTAAGAAACTTTGATTCGTTGTAATTCTTAAACTACTAGTTAAAATTGAATGAAATTTATTAAATATACTATGTTTATACAATGCCTACTTGGTTACTGAAAATTCAGGCTTCTAGCTTATCCACTACGAAGTTATAGGGGGTAGAAAATGGCCTGAATTGCTTCGAGAAAAGTATAGTACGGCCGTGCCGCTTTTTTGCTCGACTTGGCGGGGGCACTGCCGTGCCCCCAGATATAACCTGTTTCTAATTCTTTCAAGTCAATTCAAAACTTATGGATCTTATCGCGTTTATTCACGTTTTTATAAAATTAGAGTGACAAACGAGTCCACACACAGTCCGTCGGATGGTTAGTGAATGTTGTGGCTCATAGACATCTACATCTATCCTCAAATCGTAATAAGTGTTGTATTATCGTCGATGATGTGTCTTTCCTAGTGTAGTGGTTATGGGACTAATGGCGACGCGATTAGTGGTAACGGGGATAGTGCACGCAATTGAGGTATGGCGGGAGGTGCTCTGCAAACTAAGTATATGTACTTGTCGCACGAAAATCTAGCGGTGATCTTTATTGCGCGTAAGTCGAATATAAGGTATCATGGACTAGTAAGCGGGCCGCGGGGCGGGTGTGCATATCGTTTGCACGCGCTGATTGGCTACTGCTATTTGCGTACGACCACGGCTACTGCTGTACTGATACGACACGCGCAGCTATCCCCTCCACGTTTCATTCAGCGCTAGACAACAAATTCTTCGGGTGTGGATGTTTGTCTTTGTGAAGTTTATATACGTATACCTAAACTGCCTCTGTAACAAAGGAGGAAATCCTTGTTGGGGGGGGGATAGCCATTAAAAAGAAGAAAAACACTTACTGGATTCGATTATACTTACTGAATATTCATAGTTGCACTTTCCATTTGTTCTGTGTATTTTCTTCAGGATGCCTAAAGCCTTATCATGAAATCCAGCGTTTAATAAGTATTTGGGGCTCTCGTGGAATAAGCTCACAAGGAGAAGAGTAGCACCAAGAGGAGATGCTAAAATCAAGGTCAAAAGTCGCCAGGGCGTGAATGTGATGAGACCCATGTCGAGAGAAAACGTCAATCTTAAAACGAAGAACCCATACACTATAAACATACAAAAAATATTATTTTTCACAAAATATTTATTCTTATAAATACAATAGTGTGTTTACACCATAGAATATAATTTATTACAGGCTCTAAAGCATTACATCTTAGTTCTCAGGGGTGGCGACGTATTTGTAGCGTTCTTTGTTTGGCTGCAAGTGCCAATGGACTGCAGTAGACAGCCCTGATGGTGAACTGTAAGTTCAAATCTGATGGTGGCTTGTAAAACTTTTTATATAAAAAATAAAACTTACCCATATAAATACAAAAACTGGTCATAAGAGAGCTGGTGAGGATCACTAGATACCGGTTCTTGTATCGCTCAGCACAGGACTCGCCCAGCAGTGTGTAAGCCAGTGACTGGATTCCGCTGGAGCTATGTAAAATTTATTATATAATAAAATTAGCAAGAGAAATAAGAATATAGTTGTTCTTTCCTTTAACAACGTGGTATGACTCTTTCTTTGTCTAAAAGACTGTCCTCTTCTTCATCGGTCAGCGAAAATCAACTGCTAGACTCGCCTGTCTGCGTATTTTACGTCTGATATGAAAGGTCTGTAGAAAGGCATATAAGATTTTTTGGAATCACCAATAGACGCCCCTTATGAAATCAACGGGACAAAATTGGTGAATAAAATCCATTCACTATAAGTAACGCATAATTCATTGAGTTATTTATTATTATTTGTTTTGTACGAAGTTAAACATTTGTTTAACTACGTACAAAATAATTTACAGGCGGACTTATTGCCTAATTTTCTAAAAATCAACATAACTGAACGCCGCCCCTATATCCACTTAAAAATGGTTGTGATATGATTCCAACATATTATTTTGTGTGATCAACGTCTTTTTTTCGGTCTGCAGTTGTTGTACTTGCTTTAGTTTGTTTTTTATGTCATGTATTAACCTCAATGTATTATCTGTGACATCAATTACTCGTATCAATACGCCTTTGCTTAATTATTCTGCGATATCAAATTCCAGTTACCAATTCATTATGATATGCGTAATTTTAACTTTAGTGTTGTTGAAGAATTAACATTGAATATTTTTTTTATATAAAACTGAAATAATAAACGAACTTACGTTCCACCTGATGGTAAGTGACTAAAGCCATCCATGTAAACCTGCAGCCAACTTCAAACAAAGAAGGTTACAGATGCGTTTTCACCACAGAAATAGTAATAATAAGACAATAGAAATGAATTAGCGCTCGATTACTTCCAAAACCGATGTCACCACATCTTCACGTACTATAAACATACGCGTTGCACAATGATATCTAATGTTTCAAATTACATTGCTTGGCGAGTTTGTCAACGTCGAGTGTAGAAGTAGAACAAAAGCAGCAATGGTAATTGTACAATACGAAAAGTAATAAATGAAAGTTTGCAAAGGTAAATATCATAATAAAAGGTAAATTAGTTAAAACAATGATAATTAGTAAATAATCAACTTACCTATGAAATTTTATGCCTTTATTAGTTGAATTACAAGTCCTTGATGAGTTTTTACTACTTTTCTTTACTATTATGCTGCAGTTTACCATTATAACATAAATTCACTTACGACGTTCCTCACTCAAATATAATCATCATAAATATATCACAAAATAGTGAATTATGTTCGTCAACACATAAAAACGGCGACAAGGTCACGCGTCCATGCGACTTCTATTGTCTTATTATTACGATTTCTGTGGTTGTCACCTATGAAAACTGAGATTGAATGCCTTAGAGGCTGTAATTAAACTAGCTGTCCATAAACTCCTTACCGGGACACAGCAGTCCAAACATTGATATTTTGCGTCAGAACTAAGTTCAAACAGAAAAGGACTCCTGCCTAGTTAAGCTAGGTATATACTCACAAGCTCGAACTTATAAACTTTAGGACAGCCAACGTAATCCAGTTTACAGAGAAGGCACTAACGACAGCTGCTATAAAACTACCCCATAGCGCAATGATGAGACCTCTCCTCCTGCCTTGAGTATCGGCGATGTACCCCCATGGGTAAGACATGAAAATAGATCCTGAAACATGATTTTATTAATATCTGACATCGTTCGGTGACATGGTTTGCCACCCGTCACATTCTGTCTTTTTTCTTTTTTTGTAAAATAGAGTATCGATACATGTGATGTAATGATGCCGGACTTTAATGCTATTGTGAAAATTGTTCAATTGCATTGTCATCAGTAAGCACTAAAATGGAATGCCTCGTTTCCAATAAAGAGGGTCTCCAGTTCTGTACATTCACCATAAGAAACACAGCAACATTAAGCTGCTATTTTACGTTGGTATTTTGTGAGAGTATAGTATTTCTCCGGTCGAGTCGACCCATTCGTGCTACAACCATAATTAAGCTGCTCTACCACGTATAAGACCAGTCTCTACCACGTGTTTTCCGGAGCGCAGTTCCTTTTGGTTATGCTGAATGTGTACGTACGTCATCCGAAAGATTGTTGTCTCATTAAAAACTCCCTTAGTTTAAGATTCTTGTGGAAGTTTAAGAGACAACAGCAGGATACTTGACGGTATGCCCTTGGATTTTTGGGAAAGAGCAAAGCCCAACTGAGGGATGCTACGTGCAACACTTGAACTAATTAACCACTAGACGCGACATAAAACACATATGTATAAAAACTGGTTCAACCAAGTAGAGAATAACCCCACCAAAGATTTTATTACGTTAGTATAAACACAGATACGAAATTCGTAGAAGTTCACTCTATTCTAGTGCTTGAAGGTAGTCGATAAAATATATCGATGAACGACTGAGAACGAAAAAGCGTATCGTAAATAAGATGTAAGACAAAGGAAATAAAGGGATAATGAAGGTGAGGTAAGCTTCCGGTATTTAAATTTTAATTAAAATAAAAGAAGCAGGACATTGGCCCCAGTCATTTATAATAAAATTCTTAATTTTGTAAAAAATCAATCGATAAGAATATTTAAAAAGAGTATTACTTCTTTGTTATTGGAAAGGTGCTATTACTCAGTATTGGGCTTCTTAGATGATACCCATAAAAAATAACGTTCAGTTAATTAAATGTTTGTATAATCTGTTAGTATTAATAATTTATAATGTAATAAGCTACCTGCAATAATAATTCTAAAATCTATATAATGTAATAATAATAATAATAATATGTAATACTTTTAATCGTAATAATGTAATAACTATTTATAATCATAACTTTAATATTAAATCTATTAATAAATTAAAATCTTTACATGTAATAAAATATCGATATATTTTTTGACATGGTCAAGCACTAGTCGATGTCAAATTGACTTACTCCACAGTTTTAGTCATTCGTTTCGAATGGTATAATCCACCCATTTTATGATGGTTGTCAGATGTCAACAATACATAGAAATATCGACTATATTTAACATAGTTGGATAATACAAAATTTTATTTTACATTTGATTAAATTGTGTGATAAATAACAATAAATGTAATAAAATAATGTACTTACAAGTTAAAAGAAATAGTGCTGCTTCCGCCGCTATAGTTTTTATACCATTTAACTGAAGATTTAGTCATTTTTGGGAGATGTTTTGTTGACAAGTAAGTGCTTGAGACTGACGCAAAAACAAACGACCAAGGCTAGAATTTCCTGGTTACCGACAAGACCGGTATAGATAAGTCCGCTTATATGTCGGGTCCAGTGGTTAATTCGTTCAAGGTGCAACATATCTGTTCCATTTGCTGTTGAGACTGTTGGTCCATGAAGTCAAAGTGCGTCGAAGTTCCTAATGAAACGGTATCTGTTGCCGCTGGTGAAATGGCGCCGGGAGTAGGATTGTATAATTTAATTTTTGTCTTTTTTATAAATAAACACTGTAAAACTTTTTAATAAATACTGTAAACTAAGACATAAACTCTCAATATTGGGTTAGCATACTTACCTAAATACGGCATGGCAAGCAATATACTCTTCTGACTTTGGTGCAACTTGAAGTCACAGGTTGCCCCACGTACCACAATGGAAAATCCAAAAATTTCCATGGCTAAAGCGTGCATACCCAAAATGAGGGTAAACAGAAGTCCAATGTTGTACAAGCCATGACCTTTAGAAATTAAATAAAAGGATTAGTTGATGTAGAAACATTTTTGGAAAAATAACTTACCAACAACCATATCTCTCGTCATACTCACCGTGAGTATCTTTTTTTATAGAATGTAAAACAAGAGAGTCCTCCTGATGGTAATAGCCAATGTGTCCCTCAGGAATCCACATCAATCCTCGATTAAGAATTAAAATGTTATCACCCCTGAGGATTATGATGTATACGATGTAATGCCTCGATACAAATAAAAAGGATCTTCGATTCTCAACAGTGGTCATACGAAACATAGCAGCATTAAGTTGGTATTTTCTGAGAGCGTGGTCTTTCCCCGATCAAGACGACCCTTTTATGATGAAAACATAACATAGTTGCAGCGTGGCTCTATCTCGTTATAATATTAGTGTCGGAAAAACTAAGTAATTAATTTAGCAGAAAGTTACCGATGATGACAGAAGAAAATCCATCTCTCCAATTGTCCCATGGTTGTAGTAAAAATTGACTAAGTTAAAAATTGACTACTTATAATCTAAATTGAATAAAAAATATTCTATTTTATTATGGTATTGTCTTTCAAAAGTGGCCCCACGTAAAGTGGACGTGGTCGAGCCACGACGGTTCGACAAAATATGAGATAGACGTCATTATGACGACAGACGACAACAGTTGAGTGATGTCTCGGTGATAGAAAGGGTGAAAACTGGCAGCGATCACCAAATGGTAAGAGGCACACTAAACGTGAAGTTGAAGAGTTCACGCCCAATAAGTCAACGTTCCGCCTCCCTGGTACTCTAATCCAACGCCCCAAGAATTTTCAGATCGAGTTACAAAATCATTTTAGTGACTAAAAGACTGCAGTGAAGTGGACGATATGACTGAGAAGCTTGTGGAAAATGTCCATGCGATCGGAGCTAAGTTCTGTCAGACCAGTCGCAGAAGAACACAAAAACTCTCCGATCACACTCTTAATCTCATGGCTGTTAGATGGGAGATATAGCTGCATTCTTCAGCAGATTTGACAGCATACAGGCAACTGAGCAAACAAATCTCCAAATGCATGCGGCAGAAAGCCTCGATACACCTCGTATTGAAGAAACGATCGAGCAGAACCAGGGCTGCAAATTCTTTGCCAGTAATCTGTCTGCCTGAAAGAGCCAACTGTCGAAGCTGAAAACCGAATGTGGCAGAATCGTTTTTGGGATACCGGAAATTCTAAGTGAGCTTGAGAGGAGCATCTGTAGACGTCATCGTTGGAGCCACCTGCAATTGTGAGTATCGATGCATGAGCAAGTCTTATCCAACACTATTCCAAAGATATGTTGAGATGGAATGGCAGCGGAGCTTCCGAAAGGGAAACCGATACTAAAAGTCCTTCAGAAGTTCTATAATTACATCCCCCAATGTGGCACTATTCCGGAGGCGTGGAGCGGAAGTGCGGTGGTCTTGTTGTTCAAGAAAGGCAACAACGCTTTCTTGAAGAACAATAGACCAATTTCCCTTCTGAGCCGAGTCTACGTGCTGTTTTTGAGAGTTATTATGAATCGTCTCACACGCAGACTTAACGACTTCCAGCCTCCCGAACAAGCTGGTTTCCAAAAAGGATTTTGCACCATAGACCGCATACATACCCTTCGGCAAATTGTACGGAAGTCCGAAGTATAAAATCTGCTACTTTGTCTTTTGTATGTGGACTATGACAGTCTTTGATTCCGTCGATATTTCGGCAGTGCTGCAGACCCTTCAGTGGTACCAAGTTGACTGTTGGTAAATAGAAGTGCTGAAGTATTAGAACAGTAAGGCTACGGTGGCTATCCGAGTACAGAACTAGAGTACGAAACCTATCCAACTGCAGAGAGGTGGAAGACAGCGTGAAGTAATAACCCTGAAACTTCTTACCACTTCGTTGGAAGATGTTTTCAGACTGGAAAGAATAAGACGTTAATGGCGAGTACATCAATCAACTTCGTTTTGCCGACGATATAGTCCTTATGGCAGAATCAATGACCTCAATATGTTTCCCAACTGATAGGTATTAAGATGAAAATGGACAAAACAAAGATCATGTTTAATGTCAATGTCACACCTATGCCGGTAGTTGTTGGGAGCACTAAGCTCGAAGTTATTGATGAGTATGTTCACCTGGGAGAAGTAATCCGACTAGGTAAGTCCAAGTTCGACCGAGAGGTCAATCGATGTTTAACTAGGCTGGACAGCGTACGACACATTTTCTCGTCAGACATACCTCAAAATCTCAAAACTAGATTGTACAACCAGTGCGTGTTGCCAGTGATGACCTATGGATCTGAGATGTGGTCCTTAACTGCTGGCCATATAAGAAAGCTCAGTCACTCAGCGAGCTATGGAGAGAGCTATGCTCGGAGTTTCTCTGCGTGATAAACTTATAAATGAGGGTATGCGCAGTAGAACCAGAGTAACCGAAATAACCCAACGAAAAAGTAAGCTGAAATGGCAATGGGCCGGCCGTAGCTCGAAGAACCGATAACCGATGGGGGAAAAAGTTTCTCGAGTGACTGCCTCGTTTTTGGGGCATGTTCAGCACTGGATTTATGAAGAGCTGTAATGATGATGATGGTGATGATTTTGATGATGATGATGACGATTGTGTTTGTCAACACGCCTGCCAAGTTTGGCGATTAAGGCAAATTCTCCCTTAAACGGAGGAGTCGCATGACTAGCTATGAAGTTTACAGGTTGACGAAAAAACAACGTTTGTCACACGTTATAATCCACGATGTGGAGGATAACACAGTGGACCAAAATCAACAGTACACTTTTATCCATTATAGTATATTGAAATCCATTACTGGACATAAGCCTCGTACATAAATAGCCTCATATACCGCAGTTTTTATTTTTAGTCGTTATTCGGAAGACACTACTGCTCATCTCCTGACTTGTTCCCTCTGTCGCCTCTAACAACCCACGGGTTGACATATGGTAGTGGATATTCTTGCACTACCACTAGACGGTAAAAATCAGCCATCACACTTTCATTGTTCGAAAGAAAAGTCATACATACCTGCCAACTCAAGTGCCTCATTATAAGTGTAGATCTTCTCCACCCGATTCACATCACTGATGGTCCAAACATTTTGACTCTCTGTGTCACTAACGTGTCCATTCCCTAGCTGTGTACTTTCCTTCTTCTGGACTACCATTATATCTTATTTATTTAATACAAATTAAATTGGTCTCGTCACCTATTATTATTTACAATTTGTACTTTAGCTGAAATTCTGAAGAGAATTTTTAATTAATTTTGTCAACACAGTTGTATTTAAATTTAATCCAAAAACATTTTATGTTTGAATGATTTTAACTAGAACTTTTAACCCGTCATGTAAGCAGAACGCCAAATTTAACAAAACACTCATCGCCAGTTGCTCCAAGTTCATTTACACATATGTTTAAATTATGTATGCATACGGATAAAAAAAATTAGTGGCGAAAATTCGTTCACCTTCCCATATTGTGTAATTTTAAATTAATTTATATGCACCATTATCGTAAAATGGTGACTAGGTGGAACCTTTATTCAAATTCACAAATGTTTATTCAGTATCTTAAATTTAAACATGTTAATTGGACTGGGGTTTCTTTTTAAGTATATCAACTTGTATTAACCCCGCCCTTCCGTAACAATATTTCGATTCTTATAACATAGCATATACGCGTGCGTGTATGTGCGTGCGTGCGTGCGTGCGTGCGTGCGTGCGTGCGTGCGTGCGTGCGTGTGTTAAACCTAAACCAGTCAGGAACCCAGTGAAACACAATAAAAATTAACAATAACTTAAATTGAAAATTTAAAAAACTTCAAAATAAAAGAGCTAATGATCTTTAAACGGCTGAAAAGATTTTCTGGAATCATAGCTAAGAACACTCGATCAAGCCACCTTCCAACGAAAAACAACTAAATCAACATCGGTTCTTCCATTTTGACGCTACGATGCAACAGACAGTCACATTTCATCAGGCGTTAAAATACCTACTAACAGGGTTATTGTGACATTTTTATTGTTAATTATGTACAATGTTAATTTCATTATTAATTGCAATTTTAAGTGCTGATTTACCACGTGATCGGCGGTGAAGGAAAACATCGTGAGGAAACCTACATGTTTGAGAAATAAGAAAAAAATTTTTCGAAGACATATAAAGTTCGCCAACACGCATTAAGTCAGCGCGGCGGAACCTTACCCTAAAACCCTCTCAGAAACCAGCGGAGGCCTGAGCCTAGTAGTGGGACGTAGGCTACAGCCTTTAAAGTTACAACTTTAAAGACATTATTGTATGAGAGGTACATTTAGTTTTATTTTACTAGTTATTTTTAATTTTAATACACAATTTAGATACGTTTGTTTTACACATTTATATCGTCAGTGTTTTCTTTAACAATTATTTTTATGAAAAATAACCTTAAATATAAAAATTTGGATATTTTTAATTTTACATATCTATCAATTCCATCCACTATAACCTATAAAGTCCACTGGTTAACATAGGCTTTTCCCATATATTGTCTTATCGGGAGGGTTTTGCCCACAGTAAATAGTAATAATAACAAATTATTACGATTTCTGTGGTTATTGGCATCAGCTGGCATTAGCTGGTGGGTTGGCAGCCGCAGTTTTGGAGCTGCTATCGTCAGAACGATGCTGCTGCCCATCTTCTGTTTTAACTTCCCCTCATTACCTCTTACGACACCCACGGAACAATACGGAGTAGTGGTATATTCTAACACGCGGTTTAATTTTACATATATTTGTATCATACTTTCTTTAGAAATTCTTTATAAATAAGGATATTTTTAAAAGATTAATATGATGCTTTTATTCGAAATTATCTTTGAACTGAATGTCATTTATGGGCAACAACGTTTTCGCCGGCAGATCGACCCTTACGAATGCGCGCGTGCGCAGTAAAATCGGTTAAAATAATGCATTACCAAGCATTTTGAATTTTAAAGATAAAAAGGACAGACTGTGTTAGAATTATTTAATTATTTCTTCTTAACGTTCTGCATATATTACTTATACTAAACTTTCTATATATTCTTTTTTTTTTTTAAATATATTCTTTCTATATATTACATGTAACACAATTAACGCACTTTGAGAAAGTAGTTTGTTCAGAATCGTTTAATGAATCGATTCCTATAATTTTTAATATAGGTAATTTTTATAAAAGTACGCAACGACAAAAATAATGGGGGTATTGTGTATATATATATATATATATATATATATAGTTGGGAGAAAGTTTTTTTTGCATACTTTTTGACCAACTTAACCTCAATATAACAAACCTCAGTTCAACGAATTACTTGATATAACGAATATTTACTTGTTACCTTCCGATTTGTTATATCGAGGCAATGATTTCAAAAGGAAGGATAGGCCCATCTAAATATTTTACTCATAACTTTTTCATACAAGTAAAAGTAGCGCATCTGTCATAATACAAACGTCATAATATCATAACACGACGTAACCAGGGTCGGATTTCGTAGTATAATTAACATACCTGTACCATTATTTCATAGTTTGTAATGTATAGTATCGTAATAATACTAAGCGCAAATACCATCATTTTACCTAAAGATCGACTTGTATTATTATTGGGTCCTTTTACTTTTTAATATTAGCCCTACGATATCGAGAATTTCTGTTTTGTACATGAGTACTGCGTTTTTTAAATAAAATTAGAATTAGCTCCCTTTCTGGTCAATCGGTGCTCGATCGATGCATTTATGTTGTATCCTTGATGTAACTATAATGAAGGACTACCACGATAAAAATTTTATGCTCCAGAAGCAATGGTTTCTTTTATACTCTTTTTGTTTTACCCTTATCGAATATAAAATATATTAGGTACCAATATTCAAAATTTAACTTATTGTAAGTTTTTTAGACAAAAATAAAACAGAAATACAAATAAAACCGTCTGGTTGCCGGGACCATTCGTATTTTATTTTATTCGAGGGTAAGCTTACCGAAGCGTTTGTCCTTTCCAAAAAACCTACCGTCCTATCGACACATCGGGGTGGTGGGGTGCGAGGGGAAAGAAGATAGTTCTAGAATGTCACGTGATCTTCGCAACCGAAGTAATATAAACGCGCGCGCGTCCCACGCGCGCTTTCTTCCCTCCGCGCACCAGTTGGAACCACACCGCCTAGGACAGTCGAGTCCTAGAGGGCTTTGTCCACGCGCACCGCTAGTTCAACCGCATTAGCCTGGAGCAGTCGAGTTCCGGGAGTAACCGCCTCACCTCGTGTGAGAAATAGTCGCGCACCGCTCTCTTCCATCGCATCACCGGACAGAAACGCACCTCTGGGGCCCCAGAGAATCCGCCAGAAGTAAAGCGCCCAAGCCGCATCGAAGCAACGCCCCGGTGAGTAACTTCCAGTTATAAGCCCGCTTGACATAATTGTATTTGTTACTTAATCTGCTCCAATTCATTTTCTCCTAGCGTGATCAAGCGATGTTCCTTCATAGACTTTGGCAAGCAATAGTTCGTTTAGGGAAGAGCGAGTGCATTGTCAGGAAAACCGCATGCTATAGTCGCCATTTTGTGGAGACGGAAGAAACCATCCGCTTATACAGTCCATTTGGTGTAACATCTCGCGTAATAGGCTTAAGGCTCGACCGAGGAATTTGAATTCGGTAACCTTAGGCCCGTCGCTCAACCATTTTTCTGGTCATTCGGCCGGATTTGGACTGGTGCTATAGCCGCACCGTCCATTCAACATCACTGTTAGATTAATTCCTTAAACAATGCACTCAAATTTTATTCAATAGATTTAATTAGTGTTTGTTTAGTTTAAATTTAAACTTTGGTTAGTTATTTGCAAATAGAATTCATTCATTTAAATAGTGTTTGTTTAAATTTAAACTTTGGTTAGTTACTCGCAAATAGAATTATTCATTTAAATAGTGTTTGTTTAGTTTAAATTTAAAGTTTATTAGTTGCTCGCATAAGTGAATTGACTTATTTATTAAAAAACAGTTTAATCCCGCACGGTTATGCGACTACCCGACATTTGAAAAAAAAAACATTGAGTTTAGCGAGCGACACGCGTCACCTCGGCCCGTTGTAAAGAAAGTAGTAAAGGCGTTCATTTTAACGACGTAATACGGCACGCGTGTCCATCCTCCAGCGTTGTGCGGTTAATTGTGATTAATCTAATATTAATTATAATAATTTAAAATGGCAGTTAGTGGAAATGAAATTAAACTCAAAATGTTTGCCAAGAGGGACGTACTCTTTTCACGTATACAGTATATTAGTGATCACGTAAAGAGCATTAACGTAGAAGCGGTGCGGGAAACGTTTTTGTGTGAAATTGAAGCGGTGGACTCTTTGCGGACGGATTATGAAAGGATATTAGACCAAATTTATAATTTGGAATTACAAATCGACCCGAAATATACAGTGAGCTATCAGCCGCTTCTAGCATTTGAAGATATGTTGTGTCGCGTGAAAAGAACGGCGAAGCTCTTGCAGTCCCCATCTCAAAGCGAAGCAAAGCCGGAAGCTCAGGTACGCCCACGTGATTCGATTAGGTTGCCCCTAATATATATTCCGGTATTCAATGGCGATATTAAGACATGGCCCTTCTTCTTTAGTAGTTTTCAAAACAATATACATAATAATCCATCGTTATCGGACGCTGAAAAATTATATTATTTAATTAGTAACAGAGTGGCAGGGCACAGTCAATTTGCTCGGGTTTCACACCAACAGCAAATAATTATTTATTAATATTCGATACGCTTAAAACCAAATATGAAGATAAGAGAATGTTAGCTTCCGAATATTTAAACCAGATATTCGACCTTAAACCTATATCATCCGCGAACATCAACGGCTTAGAGCAGTTTTTAGATAAATTTGTGGCATCGGTGGCTGCACTTAAGAACTTAAAATTTAATGACCTTATGGACGTGGTGTTTCTCCATATTGCACTAAAGAAACTAGACCCCGACACCGTGCGTGTGTTTGAAATGGAGCATCGTAGCTCTGAGATGCTCCCCTTTGATTCATTAGCATCGTTTGTGCGAGACCAAATTAAAGTGATGCAACGCTCCTCAAACGTTAAACAGGAAGTTAAGAAATGCGTCGACCGTAGACAGACTCAACCATCCAAAACCGCAGGGTC